CAGCTTTGAAGAAGCAGGGGGGAGTTCTTCCCAAAAACATGTTTTTCCCCAAGAAGTTGAAAAAGCTGACCTCCTCTCTGTATAGCGCCCTCGGTGACATGATATTTCTTTTAGCTGTACAGCCATTTCAAGGTGATATTGAGGTATGACTTTGCACTTGGCAAAGCTGCCAAGAGCTGCCGAAGTTCACTACTGAGTTCCCTCTGAAATATTTATCCATGACAAGGGAAATCTGTGGCTCACTTTGCTTTAGCTCGCTCCACAGGGAAGTCAAAGGTCAGGGTCAACAGCACAAAAGGCCCCCTAGAGCTGACAGGAAGACACTTTATTGCTCACGGGCACTTCAAGGGAGTGAATCCTTGCCAATTTGGAGACTACAATTTCCCCAATCACCGACGACCTTTGTGGGCTGATGTTTATTCTTGCATCACCAGCCACAGTCCATGGTGTGTTACATTATTTATGTTCCATGTAATTATATTTTGCTGCATTCCTGCTATTCTTCACTTCACTCCAGCTGCCAGTTACTCTCACGTTCAAGCTCCAGTTTGACGCTGTGCCCTGTGCTTGCCTTTACTACCTCAGCACAGACGATGATGAGTGAGGCAGAGCTAAATAAGAACAATTATCATTTTCTTTCAGATTACATTCAGCAGATGTCAGGGCCCACATGTGGAGGCGGCTAATTGCTGTCTCCAAATCAACTGTGGCATAATACTACAAGCATATGTGAGCTTTTGTGTGAGTACTGGGGAAGGTGGAGGGGAAGAGGGTTGCATTGTACTGAGAAAGTTCTATCAATTCTATCAGGCACGCTCTCAGCCATGAGTGTATAAAAAGCCAGGCTAATGCATGTATCATGTTGGTGTACTAATGATCAAACCAGCTTACCCGCCATCAGCTGTTCACACCCACACGAGCAGAAAGAATCATATAGTATGAAGACACGGAGTGGCACAGGAACACGCTATCAACCTACTTTTATGCCGCACATAAGGCAATCATGCTTTCATGGCATGGTATCTATATTCACGACATACTCATGAATGCATGCAAACACGCACACACTCGTGCCAACCTCCAGCGTGCTTTCACACTGCCTAAGAATAATAAAGATTGAAGGATAGAAAGCATCCCAGCACTCCCAGCTTTCTTTTCCACTCCACACCCCTCTCTCCTGCATATCTCCTTGCAGCCTTGAGTGGGGCTGCATCTGCATGGAGGAGAAGGCAGACGAGGTCCCTGGGGTGATGGAGGGTGAGGAGAAGGGGTGGGGATGCACGGCTGTCACACTGAGCTCCAGTGTCAGCTGATGGCTCGGCGTGAGGCATGCCACTTATCAGATTTGTGGGGAGGGTTAGAGTGGGGGATAGGGGTAACGGTAACTGTGTGTGTGTGTGTGTGTGTGGGGGTGAGGAAGCACTAGGGAGAAAGGGTGAGGGTGATGCCAGAGCCCATTAACACAGTCTTTTCATCTATACACACATACCCCTTCAAACCACTCACTCACTCACACACACACACACACACACACACACACACACACACACACACCAAAGATCCTCAATCCTCCCTCCAGGCAGACAGTAGCACGATGCCGTGACTGCCACGACTGCTGCTGTGAAAAGCTCTCTTCTTTTCTCATTCCCTCTATCCTTTTCATCCTCCTTCCCCACTCTCCCTTGGTGCCCCAGTTCACTCCAGTGCACACGCTCACTCTCTCCTTCCACCCCTAACCCAACCCCCACCACCACCACTCTGGCCCCCATTCCCCAACCCAACCCTGCCTTCCATTTTTATTTGCTTTTCTCCTACATGCTACTGTATTTTTCCTACAATATGATGCATTCTTGTTAAAAACGCATTTACAATCACACAAAACAAATATTTAGATGTAGAAATAGGAATTTTCATTTTCTTTCAACAAATGAACAAGCTTTTAATAAATGAGACAGGATAGGTATGTTTTTGCATATCCATACACACAACACGGTCACATACACGTACAAGACACATCAAAAGATGGAGATGAGGATAGAGGAGGTCAGTCAGTCACAAAGCAGATAAACAACACCTCATTAGGGATGTTGAAGGGAGTCTAGCAGGCCTGGTCGAGACATCATTGTCCGCTAACATGCTAACAGAGCCCTGGGCAAAGCTTCCAACATCTAAACAAAGCTGATAGGATCAGAAAGTAATGATCACTCTTTATCCACTAGAAATGACATGAATAATCTCATACAATGGTATAGGGGATAATGCACTGCCTTGTAGTCCCCTATATACCACTGGATGCAGACATGGACACAGTGACACATGCAAGCAACAGACATCCTTGAAATAACAATGATGTCAAAGTACCTAGGGCTGTTTTTTATCCTATGCATGCATGGACACTGCTATCCATTCATTCAAGATTATAAGCTATTCATTACTGGATGGTACAGGACTGTAAACCAGACAGTCTGCCATCATATAGGCGGTACAGTATGAATCCAGAGAGGCAGAGGAGCTGGGGCTTTGCACTGCAGTTTCTTTGCTTTGGGCTTTAGGCAGTCAATTTTCTTTCCATCACGCACTCGCACCCTTTCAGTCATTCTTGCACTCACAGTGTTTAACTCACAGTCTCTCCCTCTATCTCACCCTATATTAGGCCATCCTCCTTTCCTCTGGCTCTGATGTTAATGCACTCCCAATCAGGCTCTCCATTAAACAGACATGCACTACACGTTCATCTGGCTGTCCAAAGTCCCACATGCAAATGAGCTCAAATTGCAGTGCGCTGCAAACTCCTTGAAATCTCCTTAGAGGGAGAATGTGAGTGTAAGACATGCATGTGTGAGAAATGCAGTAAAAAGTGCCTGCCCATCCATTTTATGCAAATGAAAACCACGTAGATGAGCATTACAAAGGATTAACTCAATCAGGATGCCTGTTTGATGTTTTCATGCAATGGTGAGACATTCACATCCGAAGTGTGCTAATGTAAATTCAATCAGTTATTCATAAGAGTGTTGAGTTACTGTCAGCCAAACCCTTTGCCAGCCACAGTAAAACTCCATTTGGAAATCACTGTCAAAACTTTTGCTAGAATCGCTAAAAGTGAGACACACAACACATCCTTCCCCTCTCCTCCCTTTTGACCGCTAGGCATTTCACATCACTTAGTTTTGTTCTTTACGAAAAAAGTTTGTTATTGTATCCGGCGGGACGCATTCATTCTCACCTCAGTTCCTTGCCATCTCAAACTTTGTAAACCTGTTAGGTGGATTATGAGAGAACGGGGAGAGAATCGAAGAGGACAGAGGCGCGTGGGTGTGAGAGCTGTCACACTTTTAAGTAGAAAATTGTTTGAGGTATCAACAAGGAGTAGGAGTGGCAGAAAGAATCAGAAATCAGACAAAGCTTGAGAGTCAGAGAAACATGCTGGTCCTGGAGGCTGCCTCTTTGCATTCAGGAGGCACAGGGCCTGGCGTTAAATGCATGGAGCAAGGGGGAGTGTCAGCAAGGCCTGCTGCGTGCCAACTCTTAAGTGGCGGTGGCACTCAAAGATAATGAAGAACGATGATGAGGCCGAGGAGGGCATGCCGAGGGCCCACGTGAACAGCTAAAATCACCCAGTAGCCACCTATAAGGATTTGCACATAGACACTCAAAAAGGTTTACCAACGGCACTGATTGAGTGTCAAACCTGTGGCTCAAATTTCCACTTTCATTTACTAATCCAGCAACCTCCTCTTTGTGTAATTCTGTGAATTCTGTGAATGTGTCTCCACATATGTGCTCACGCCTGCTAGGCGACAGAATGTGAGTCTGTTTGAGTCATTATGCATTTACACCACAGGATGCAAAGACAGTCGAGTAAAAATAATGGAATATAAGCGAGCCCCCTGCGTTCCTGAATCGTGACCTCAAAATACACTTGTCGTCTTCATTGTTCATTACCGAGCCGTGTGCTGCGATACGCTAACTAATCCCATTAAACTAATCCACACGAAAACAACTTACGATGATAACGGCCTGCACCGCCTCCACGGTTAATTTATGCCATATTCAAATGTGCACAGAATTGAAATAATTAATGTGACTCCCCCACTAATTTTCCTTTTTGCAGAGATACTGAATGGATACCAGCACGGTGTTTATTTTCATCTACAGGCTCATTGCACATTTCTCCTACTATTGTTTATGTACACAGTATATGGTCCAAAGTCACTATACTTAGGGTAAAGAACTGGTGTTTTTGCAAGATCAGAGGCAGTGGAATTATTTTATTATGTATTTTTTATTAAGACAAACCTAACAACCACAAAGTTTGAGCCAGCGGAGGTGTCTGGTTCATATTTGCCTCAAACTTCCTGGGGTATATGAGGTGATCACACAATGCAACCTACAGCAGCTAGACCTGCAGTAGTTGAAAGTTTCTTTAGATCATTGATATTAACTTGAATATCAAAAGGATGTTGACAGCAGAATTATGCCATCCTTCATGGTCTCCCAAGGTAGTGTACCTCTAAAATCTTACAACCACATGACGAGCCAGCCACTGAGAATACCGGTCACAGACAACAATTCCAACCTGCAGTCGATTTTATCATCTCCAAACATCTTTTATCCCAAGAACCAAATCACAGCTCCCATACTAGCACCCTTTATGGGTCCTGAACATTGTCCGCTGGTTAACGTGTTTGGATAGGAGGAGAGTGCACATGGGGTTATGAATAAAACATGTTGCCCTTATTAAAAATAATCTGTCTCAAAAGTGCCAGAGGCCCTTGAGGTCGATAACCCCCCTCCTCCATCCACTCCCTCCATCTCCCAGGGTTCAAGGAGAACGGTCCCTGATTAGCACTGGCAACATCCAGAGAACGCATTCAAATTCTGTATGATCGAGTGGTGAATGTGTTGAGTGGAATTAAATAAAGCAGATAGGGATTGGCGCTTGGGGCAACACAGGGGAGGTTGTTTAGGATTTAGACCGGAGTTCCTTCCATTCCTACCTGAACATCTCACCCAGGCCCTTCAGCACGCCTTTCTTGGCTTTGTTCTTGTCCTTGTCTTTCTCCCTCTCTTTTTCCCTTTCAGGTTTCTTCTTCTCCTTCCCCCCAGCCTTGTCCTGATCTTTCTGTCTGTCATCTTTGGAGAGGTTGCCGTTCAGCCCAGGGCCCACATTGAGGTCGCCGCTGGTGGACATCGACTCACGACCTGATCTGGAACTTCCCTCTGTGTCCTCGTCCACTGGAGTGAAGAGATAAGGGAGGAAGGAGAGGGTGTTATATATAGAAATTGAGAGGCAAAGAGAACAGCACACTCACAAACACAGATATAGAAGTGTAAGTCAATAAAGGCAAAAACTATTACTTCCATTTGACTCCCTGTGGATCACAGAAGCTGCAACAATTCCACTTTATTTTTAAAGTTACAAAGCATCACTTATTTCTGCTGGTAACATCAGATAAATCATTAAAAGAAAAGCTGTGTCCCACAAGGTATGGCAGCTTTGATCAAAACACACTGAATTTATCCGCCTCATTAGAGCAAAATATATTTATACTGTACACCCTTTGAGAATAGTACTCAGTTGAACACATTTTCACTATGCTGACAGCCTGAAGTTATTTCAAATGTCTTCAAATATCTTTTTTCTATTTTCTGTGGCATTTCTTATAGAAATTATATGCCCAAAAAGTGAAAGCTTTAATGATAGTCATATGAATCTGGTTCTTCATTTATGTCTGAACTCATTTCAACCCAGACATCAAATTGAAACCAAACTCCTTAGGTGATGTAGGGTTGATTAAACTCAAAGTTTCCATCACATCTAATCAGAACTGATGTGCAAAATATAATTAATCCGTCAGTAATTATACATTTAAATAATCTTGAAAAAGGCTCCTAGGGATCTTAATTGTACATGTGTTTCACTTCGCAATCGGCATAGTTCCTGTCTATGCTGTATCTCTGGCTCTGAGGCATGAGGTAGATGTCCTTCAGATGACAATTTATTACAGTCTTGCGTGTTGTTGTCTAAGGAGAGCAAAGCGCTTATCGTGAAGGAATAAGAGGGAGGGGAGACCATGATGGATTTTTGGCATATGGGATGAGACAGACTACGAGAGGGTGGAGCAGCTAGATTCACATTTCAAGAAACAGTAGGGTTTGTTTTCTCTTGTGAACTGTGGAGCTATCAGCTATTTCTTTCAGCTCACATCTCGGAGGAAATTACTGAAAATAAATCTCAACATGAGGGACTATATGGCAGGAATAGAGAGCAAAGCGGCAGCTTAAACCTGCTCCATTATGCAATTCATTGCTGTGTACAGCCCCTCCCTTCCCTTTCTCTACCTCCACAAATTTGGGAGCAGGTTCTGGATGGGTATCAGTTTTATCACTCAATCTGCTGCCTGCTTATCATTCACTTAAGAGCAACGACAGCAAATAGCAGCTGTGAGCTGTATCTGGCTATTTAAATGAATGAGATTAGCAAGAGTGCTAATGCTGCTACCACTTAATAGTGCCAAGCTGCAGATAACATACTAAACATTGTAATCCAGAGCCTCCCAGAGGACAGGGGCCATGTGTTCTGGTATGTGTGTGCTCATGGGCATGTTTGTGCATTTGTTTGTGATCAGATTCTTCCAAAGGCCTCATATCAAGTTAGAAGGAGGCCATACAAAAACAGACGTGTCATTTTTATAATTCAATGCAATTTTTTTCACCGTCCATTCACCTTCATTTGAGTCTTTCAAATAAAGCACGACAGAAAAACAATCTATCTCCTAACGGGAAAAAAAGACAAAAGCCTATAACACCACACATCAAAAGGTGAGGCCATCCACAGCAATTTAATGGAAATGAAAAGAAAAAGACTTGGCTGACAATCTTAAATGACAGCAGAAGCATTGATGAAAGTGTCAGGAGACTGAAAGATAATTTGCAGAGACAGACAACCACAGGAAACATTTTGGCACTTTAGAGAAACAACCATTAAACTTTCCTGCTTTAATAATCAAGGACATTTAAGATGGCCTGTCAGTAAAGGTTATGACAGACAAGTAAAATTGCCAGTCTTATTCCAGCACATAAAAGAACGGATTTTAGCTCAGCAGAGCAGATTTTTCTTTTTCTCTTTTATTTCCTCAAACGAAGCAACACAAAGTAGCACAAGGGGAAGTGCATTTTGCCCAGCAGGATATCTTGTGGGGACACATTTTCTTTGGGTGATGCCACATTCTTATTTTATGTAAATAAAAGTCTGGGAGCAGAGGAAGGCAGCAGCTTATCTGTCAACTTTGACTATTAACCTCAGTGACGAGCACAGACTGGCTGCTTTTATCTAAATTGAAAAACAGAGTTATTTGAATATCATGGGGGAAAATGCAATATACCGCGGCAGGGGAAATCGGTTGCTTTCCCCATTTTTCTTTGCCGAGATAAGACTGTATTTAGTGGCTTGCCGACAGAGCTTATGAGAACAAAGCGTTTCAGGCAAATAATTCCCTCTTTTTCAAATGTCTTCCAGGTCTTTAATAGTGAATGGAAATTTATATCTGGTGATTACTCTTGTGGTGTTGCAGCGTTATTACCTGTCAGAAAACATTAGACGGCTGTCTCTCTATATCCAACGCATGTCTTTTTGTCATCAAACACCAACTATGGATGGATATATTCACTCACGCTGAAGGTGGCATGCCTTTCCTTTCAAATGTTTTCTTCATAGTTGAGAATAAAGTAAGGTAATTGTGGGTTCAATCCCAGTCAGGTACGCAGGAAAACAAATGTGAGGAAACCTGGCAAAGTTACACATTGTTATGTGCCAAAACTAACTGGCACATCCCAAAGCAGAGTAGTATTTAATTTATAAACTTAGTAATTGCAATTACACATACATGTGTGTAAAATGGATACAACTGGACGCTGGCCCATGTGGGTAAACAATAGAAATTTTGGGTAAACAATAGAAATTTTGCATGCATTCTGTTGAAAAACATGGCAATGCACTTTAGAGTATGTATGCTCCTGGGAAAACACATCACCGCAGTCTCTAACAATTCCACTCAACATGAACTGTCTGAATATTAATGAGTGTGTAACCTAGACGCTTATTGCAGATGTGCTTTGTAACACACATCTCTCTAGCAAGTAGGGATACCTAACCTAGTTTACTTGAGAGTGAATCCTGCCATTCTAAAAGGGCTTTGGGGAAGTATTGACTTGGAATATATTCCACTGACTGAATTTCTTTGTATTAATCTATTATCCACAACTCTACTAAACAGTCTTGCGAAACAAAACCTTAATGTTTGAACACTCACATATCTCCATGCTGTTCTCCTCTTCTGCCGCTGTGACACCAGCCTTCTCGTATGATTTGTCAATTGCAGCTCGGAAACTCTCATTGCAGCCACGGCCCCTGACGATCCGTGAGCGCGGCCTGCGGACGTTGAGTTCACCATTCAGGGTTGCCTCGGCAACAGCTGTCTGGAGGCTTTCAAGGGAGCTGGACTTTTTCAGGCCCAGTGAGGGTCCTACCTCTTGTTCTGCAGAACCTATGGAAAGAGGAAATGGCGGCATTGAGGTCAGCGGACTAATGGCTTTTGAATTTAACTCCCCCACAAAGGCAACCTAAAACTGTCATCACAGAGCTCATTATGTGTCAATGAATCATTCACGTTTTGCTGGTTTCGTATGCAATGATGTTAAGTGCTGCACTTGGCAAATAAAGAGAAGGTGTGAGTCTGGCATGAACATCAGCAAAAACAAATGATGCCATTGCCGGGCCAATGAAGTGTTTGAAATGAGAACAGAGTATTATATCTGTACGTTTCATTTTAGGAATTATAATTCAACCTTTGTTCTTGTGTCTGCAGAGTTAAATTATGTGGCTTAAACATAATGCATATAAATGGGCCACAATCAAAGACAACAATGTACCACAGTATCAAAGTGATTATGGTGTTATACTAAAATATAATACATTCCCAAAACAGGCATGTGATTGGCAAAGGGCAAAAAAGCAGGAAAATATACTGAGACCACCCAACACCCCGATTAAACTGGCGGCGGCTCTAACATGGAAGGTAAAGCAGGATCCATGACAATATCTTATTTAATGGATGTGTTGCAGTGGGAATCAAAGACAAGGGTCTAATCCACTGCTCCATCGCAACCTCTCTATAATAATTATTATTTTGTATTCATTTTTACCAAACTTCAACAGCTAGATGTGCAACATGAAACATGAACTAACTGAGTCTATAACTAAATAATGTAACTACTAACTTTCAAATTAGTTCAGTTGAAGTTAATAGATGATTTTTAATGAATAAGAGACAGCAGCAAAGGTTGTTGCCTGTTTTAAGACCTGGTGGTCTGACTGCTAAAGAAACACTTATATTCTTCAGGAAACTCACACAGCTGATCAGTCTCTATCTGTTGGAAACTGTAGGAAAAAGTTTGACATTTCAACTCTGGCAGCGGGCGGGCGTGTGCGTGAGACGTGAGCGACCGCGACAGTTTAACGGGATCGCGCCAGTCACACAGAAGCCGTTGTCATGGTTACCTCGCGGAGCGCTTGTTTGCCTGTCTGTTGATGAGGAGCGCGGAGCGACCCATGTGAAAAGGCCTTATATAGCCTAAACCCTGTCACAACCATTCACAAGAAATTAATTAATAACGTGCCAAAACCTTTAACATAAGGACGACTTAAAAAGCAACCATCCAAAGCAAAGTGTATAGGCTACATGAGTGATCAAGACTTAGACAACAAAGTCAAAGTAAACATTAGACATAACAAGCAATAATCAAAACATTCCCAATTTATCTGATCCTTATTGTCAACTCAGTGTTGGGCAAGTTACTCAGAAATAATATTACCTACTAGTTACTTAGCATAGGCTATAGACCTACTCCTTAAAAAAGTAATATTAGCGACTCTACTTAGGCCCACTACTGGGTGATAGACTATTATAACGCCTCTCTCTCCCGATGAGTCCAAGCATCACTGGCAGCAGCGGCCGGAGTTTCTCTCTGAGTTTCACGTTGCTGTGTTGCTTTAGCTGATGCTTAAATTAGCCTAAGCAGAAATGTAGAACTGTTCGGTTGAAAACTTTTTGCTGGTCGCACAAAGTTTACAACGGACGACAATGTTCTTTGCATCTTAGACTGTGACACAGTAATGGCAATAACGTTACTTACAGCTGTTGAAAATACCTCTCTCTCCCTGTTCTCCAGTTGTCCTTTAGCTTCTTGGCTAACAGCTGACTTTAACAACATAAGGTCCGGTGCCGCTGAGCTGCAGCGCGGTCGCGCATTCACGTCAGGGATGGTGCGTTCAGTAGCGCAGCGTTACTTGGATTAGTAACTGTAATAATACAACTGTTTTGGAAAAGGTAATCCGTTACATTACTCTTTACTGGGAAAAGTAATTTTGCAGTAGGCCTATTACTGCCCAACACGTTACGTACCACTGATACCACTGATTACCCCCCCCCCCCCTTTTTTTCTTTAAATTACAGATCTGCATGATTGACGTGCATCACATTTTCAAGTCGGAAAATCCGGAATTCCGGAAAATCACATCCCTGCATGATAGACTGTAAATCTAAAACTATTTCCATAGGTGGTCCTCTATCTGATTTCTCTTTTACTCAGTTCCTCTGAGAGAGGCTGGGTAAAACAGAGAGGAGAGAAAAACAAGAGGTAAAACTCCATTGATTTCCTACACCATTCTCTAGAATTCACTAGCCCATCTTAGCACAAACAACATCGCACAGCTGTAATCCTTTGCTCTATTTCTAAGGTGTTCCCATGTGTAGATGTTCGATAGCAGGTAACAGAACAGCACAAAGGCAGAACCATTGGGAGAAAAACAACCCGCAAACTATTTTATCAGCCTGATTAGCCTGGTAAAAACTACCACAGCATTTGTCACCAAAGGCCACCTGCAGAACAATGCTAGCACATGGAAACTTTCCAAGACATTGTCATCATATGTGCTGCACAATGCAACACAAAACACACTTTAGTATGAGCATGGCAATATGGTTTATGAACAGAAATTCCTTTATGACACAAGACCAGTGGCACCCACTTTATTTACTTCCCTGATTAATGCTTCACAACGCATAACCATTATGCTAAGTAAATACAATTAACATGTAAATTGTACACACGAAACAAATGAATGGCTGTTACAACTAATTAGAATAGCTCAGATGCAGTACATCATAGTTCTAAGACAAAGTACCTCCTTAAAAAGACATACAAAGCTGGTAGACCACAACTGTTGAAAGAAAAGTGAATTTTGAACAGTCAACCCCTTCAACACTGGAGCCAGGCCCCAGACAGCCGTAATTATTTTTCCAATGCTTGCCAGGGGTTTGTTTAGGGTATGTAAGTGGAGCGTGACTCAGGTATTGGTATTTCATTTTGTCAGGGAGCGTCCGTCAGTTCCCCGGAGCTCTTACCTTACCCGCCAGTTGGTAAACAAGCAGCCTGGTTGATTTTCTGTCCCCTTTGTTCTACCTTGATGCAGCGTGCAGCATGGTACTGTCAAACGTAACAAGATGGATTTCTGAATATGTGCATGTAAAGCCTTGTTAGATATAAACTTCAGAGGAAATATCAGTAATAATGGATAAACTCTTGATTCAATTACTTTAGCAGCCTCACTGACTCTCTGAGGGTAAAGCACATGTTAATGGAGTCTGGACAGAGCAGCATTGTGTCGTTACGACTCCCTGTAGACTATAGACCCTCCACATTGTGAGTGTGTGCTGCTATTTCCTCTGCAGCTTCATGTGGCGCAAATAAAATAAATCTGCTCCTGTTGATTTTCAATAGCAAATGTTGTATGAGGTCTTGTCTCTAACCTAAGTGAATAGAACACACTAATGCAAACAATGGATCTATATGTTTGTATGTGTGCAGCTCATGCAGAGAACCACAAAAGGCACAATTACACAAACTCTTGACACACACACACTTCTAGGTCAGCTACCATCAACAAGATCCTCAACATGTTTCAAATGACCTAAATGAGGCATGACCCTCTGCTGCTGGAAGATCACAGTGGATCTTCAGATGGAGGGTTGCACAGCCAAACACAGATTAGGCAAAGAAAATAAACCCCCATCACTGAAAGAAAACAATTTGTGACGGTTGTATGGAGTACCTCCTCTGAAATACATTTGTTTCAGTGTCTGAGAGCGCAGGGAGAGAAGAAACACATATTGGTGTGAATATACAAAGCTTGCAAAAGCAGGATATGAATGAGTTGGTAAGTAAGAGCTTAAAAGAAAAAAGAGAAATGCAGAAATACATATATGCTGCCACTGTTATCATAATTTTACCAGTGGCAGCTTGTCTCTTTTGTTGGCTAAACCCCATTGCTATTGTCTTTCTGATCCTTTAACCAAGCAGAACTGCACTAGTGATTAGCCTAGCTATCTGAGTTTCACAGTTCAAACACACAGCATCAAGACAACTACTTGCAGAGGACAAATGTAGAAGCAATGCTGATGGATTTCATTTTTCAATAATCTAGTAATTTTAATGAAACTGAAAGTTTTCATGTTACCTTAAGGATCTTTAGGGTCACCAGAGCATCCCTCTTCCTGCTGAGTTTGATACCAATGCACCTTTACTGAGAGTATGAGGTCTTCTCTATCATCCATAGCAGCTATAAATCTGGTGTCAAAGAAGTCAGATAGGCTAAAAGGTCAGCTGTTAGCCAGTCGTGTTGGATTTCCATAGTGGTAAACAGACTGGTATGTCGTGAACACGCCATTTTCCCTTCCTTTTTGACAGTGTTAATAAAAGGGCCCAATCGCGAGAGAAACTAGACTCAATCCCGAAAGTACCCTTCAAAATAAATGAACACCAATCCTATAAAGCTGCATCCCATTTAGTGGGAAGAGCTCACATGTGTGCTTTCAGGCTGCATTGGAGAGTAAAATTAAACTTTACTGTTTGTACAAATGTCTAGGGGGTCAAAAGCTCTATGGTTGCTGGAACAGAAGATTCATTTTACTGCTTAGTTCCTCTGGAGAGGTGGGGCCGTTTCTGATTACTATGTCACATTATAATGCCAGTAAAGCATGAACAGCCTTCCAAGACCAAGAAAATGCAAGTAAAAATGATGTAATTGATTTGTACAGAAGGCGTAATCTCATCATGAAATGGACAGGAGAGGATAGTCCAAACACAAAATACATTGTAAGGAAACGCAGATGCAGCATAGCAGGAAAATGCTGTAATTGTTCATACTTTGTGGATAAAACTCAATCATCCCAGTACAAATGCCATGTAAATGTGTTTTTTTGGCTTATGCATAAAGTCTGCCAACAGCGGATACGCAGAAGCCAGGGTGCATGTTTGACACAAAGGGATTGCAAGTTAGAGCCGCACATGATGCAACAGTTCAAGGGAACACAAATGACATCTGCTGTACTCGGAAACAGGGAATTATCCTCCCGTTCGGTATTCCGCACCACAATCCCCTTCGCCATTGTTTCTAGTCAGCGTGGTGAATGACTGAGAGAAGCAGAGAGACAAAGAGAACGGGAGAGCGAGGCAAAGAGAGAGAGTTTGCCCATAGACCCTGGCTTCCTCCAACCTTCCTTTTGTTTTCATCATAAGCAGCACCGGCTCTCCTGGGAGAGTTTGACGGACAGCTCTCTGTATGCCAGTCTATTATGTGATTCCTATCACACAACAGAAGCCTCAGTGCTCTGCTCCTCATCTCCCTCTTATTCAGAGGGATGAAAATACATATTCCCCCATTGCATGCAGACATGAGTTTGTCACTCCCCACACGTCTGGAGGAGAAATGAAAATCATCCAAATGAAATACACAAAAAGAAAGACAATCAAACTAAATAGGAGAAAAGTGCAACTGGAATTTAGTCATGGTCAAAGACAAAAATGGCCAATGTGTTCCTTAGCCAGATTAAGGGCAAGGACAGTTAATTGGAGAAGATCCATTGACATTAAACGTTAAAGGGGAGGTATGGCAAACTCCATGAATAAATCAGAAGCAGTTATTACAGGGACAGGAGCCCATAGTATAATTAGAGCAGCTAAAACTATGCTCCCCAGCCATTATTCACCATGGGCACTTGCATGTAAAGATCTGTGTACAGACAGGGGCCCCATTACACATAATTTATTCTGAAAGCCGGGGCTTTAAGCAGGGCGGTAAAAGGGTAATTATGTTAAAAATAGCCTCCAAGGTGGCCGGGGGAAGGCCATGTCCAGGTATCTCAGAGGAAGAGAGGCGTCCCTGGGTCGGCCAGGCTCCTATGTCTCTGCCAGTTGTAGACCATTACAGAGGACGTCCTCCGCACGCAGAACATGTGTCACAAATGAGCCATCATTACCCGGACTGGTTAATATCTTGATCAAGGATGCTGGATACTGCCCTGTGATTGTGCGGTTTTATCAACCCAATAAAATTATATTTTTATACCAGTGTATCTCTCTCTAAATCGGCCTGCTCGCTTAACTGGCCAAAGCTATGAATATGCAATATGAGTCTGGCAACTCTCATGCCAAGCGTGGCAACTTACTGGATCAGCAACTGACTTGGATGGAATGGAAACTCACAATTAGGGTAAGCTTTAAAGTGCTCTCATTTACCACCGCTGGCACATCAGTGACTGGGCTCCACTAGTCTATTAATTATTAATTAATATTACAAATATTAATAAGTAATAATATTCACTTTTCCTGCCTCTTACATCATGTTTAGAAGTCTTTGAGATATACATAAAGTTGCTGTACGTTGTTGTTTTTGCATAAATGTAATGTCACATAACTGGCAAGAGACATGTCAGTTTCCTATTATTATCCTCTCAGAAATCACTCAAAAACATTCCCTCCTGACTCAGTCATCAGCTTATTCTGGGTTAATTTTATGGAGTGAATGCACTCTAACACGCTCCAACCAGAACTCAAAACAGCCTTACTATGATGGATCAATTGCAGCGAGCTGAAGAGGCCAACTGGCAATGAATGTCTCTCTATTGCAAATGCCACTCCATTGCCGGGCTCCCTCCAGCCCTCCACAACTCCTGGAGTAATGAGTGTTTTCTTCAATCATTTGCACTGCAGAACGAGCACAATGGCACAGGTTCCCACATTAGTTGCCAAGTCTCTATTCAACGCCATGCAACTCCCTCTCAGCAATGTGAAAACCCTCTTTTGATCATGCTGCAATTACCTCAAACAACTCTCTCCTCCATATGCATCTGAAGGTGCCAAGATCACACAGCCAATAATGGTTGGTTATGAGTTAGTTATTGAGAAAAGGTGTGACTGCTTTTCCAATGTCTATTATTTACCCATGGACCCAGCTGAACAATCATAATGACCCCTTGTAATAATGGTGAGAGTGTACGGAGATGGTCCAGGCATGGTTGCTTACCTCCTTTGGTTCTTGTGCTGCAGTTAATATCATCTGCTACTGTTAAAGAGCATAAACAAGCATGACTGGTCTCCTATAGTATGTTACTGAGTACATGAAAAGCGAGATAAAGTGCAGATACCGAATAGTTTGAGAATAGAGATGTAAGTAGAAGAGATATTACACCCTGTGCAAGGGCCTGTCAATCACGAGGCTTACAAGGCAAAGTGGCTGGAATGTGCTAATGTATTACTGCCAGCCGTGGCACCTCACGTCTCTTTCTTCCATTTTCTTCCCTCACTCAATCTTGTTTCGCATCTAAATGGGATTGAACTGTGGGGTGTCTGACCAGTTTAGCATATTTCAACAATAATGGGCTTCAAAGTCATGAAATCCATCTGCTGATGTGATTTGGGAGCACCTGGAACACAATTAAAAGGAGGGACAAAAATACCTAGAGACAGAATAAATGAGAATCTGTAGGGGATAGCATTGGTGAGCGTGTTAACCATTTAGTCAAGGTAGCTTTGAAAGCACAGAGCAGCTTCATTATTGTGGTAATGGGAAGCAGACATGTATGTATACACCTGCTACTTATCCTAACTTCTGAAGACAAGCTTCAATGTACAACAGTGTGCCAATGACAAGGCTAAAGTATAAATGCTGGCACTATGTTCTTTGGCTCATATAATTTTCATCTCTATTATACATTATCCATAGGCTGTTTTTCATTGTGTGGCTTTGATGTAATAATTTCATTAAAATAATCAACATATTATAGCAGTGTGTGCCTTTGAGATAAATGGAACTTGTGTGACATTAGACACATACTAAATCGCAATATGTAGTTTTCATTTTGAACACAGACTCTAGAGCTTGTCTTACATGTATTGACTGAAACATTTCTCCTCTGGGAACTCATGTCAGTTACTAGAGTTATTATATGAGAGGAATAAGTTTGTTATTTCCCTGCGCCATCTGAACACTGTGAAACCCTCACTGATGGACTATGATGTTGTATTGGCAAGGATCTCTGTCAGCAGGATATTTCATAAACTCAGTTGGTCCCAGTAAGTCCTGAAAGGGAATGGGATTCTGAATTACAGCTAATAACACACACCCTGATCTTAACAACTAAGAAATAATAGACCAGTAATAGAGACTTGTAAAACATCGACATCACTGGTTCTCAAGGCATTGTCTTATGAGCAGATGAACTACTTTCTTTTGTAAAAACCAACTGCTGTTTAATAGAGTTAATCAAATTCACAAATACATGCTGATGTCACTTTGGAACAATTAAGAAGCTTTTTGATTAAACCCATTGATAAAATGTCCATTTGCAATGATGAGAACGCCATCGCGGAGCTATCTCAGCATCCTGTCCATTCTACTCACTTCCTGTACTCAATTATCTTCAATTATATTTTTATATTATTTCACACTAAGAACATAATGGACAAGATTTTTTATGCTCAACTAATTTCTTAGTGAAACATATCCAATGGCTAACGATTATTGTTTTCCGAAGCAGCACTGAAAGGTTGTGTTGTGTGGGTTCACTTATTAGAAAAGTTTTGAAAGAGGATAAAAGGTAGGGGAAGGTGGATCCCAGCTGAGTGCAGAGGGCTGGACCTACACTAGTCTGTGGGAAAGTCAAAGATTTCTACAGGTCTCTGGACTCCATGTGGAATAGAGTTAGTTGTTATTTGTTATGATTAGCCAGTGATCCGAGAGCAGGCAGTGTCTGCTTCAGCCTCAGTGGGAGAGACTCTGAACTCATCTTTCCCAGATACAGTCTGTATGTTTGAGCCTGTGCTTGTGCATGTATGCGCATGCATGGGTCTCACTGGCCTTTCCATCACTAGGCAGTCACTAAAGAGGACATTGTGCTCTTGCTTCTTGTGTTTCACCCATGCTCCACTGAACACAGAACCATGGGAGAAGGAGGCCAAAAGAGGAGAGGTGGTGGCTGGATAGGACTGAAAGTACTGTGTGTGTGTGTGTGTGTGTGTGTGTGTGTGTGTGTGTGTGTGTGTGTGTGTATGTTCAAAAGTGTCTTTGTTTCCACAGTATTGTGCCTTTACTGAGACAGCCGGAAAAGGTAAGAAACATTAAGTGCTTGAGGAGTCAGAGGTTACATTGACACTTTGGGGTGTCCAACAGGGAAAATAACACAGCAAGCAAACCCACAATGTTTTGCCAGATGTACATGAATGCCAAAATAGAAAACCAAGCTGTCCAACTTTCTGGTTTAGCTTTGACCTAGTGTACTTACTTGTGCCTGGGCACAGTGTTTCTGTGCAATAATAGATTACTACCAACATTTCAGGTGAATTTACTCCAGATAAAGTGGTTTAGAAAATTTGGCTAAAGAGTTTCCTCATTTACAACCTGCCTGATCATCTGCTTGTGTCTTTTGCCCTTTTCGACTTGTTGTAGTGATGTTGCCATGTTCCCACCATCTCAGCAATGACTTTTTTGAGTACACAGTTATTGTTATCCATTTTCTGTCCTTTGTTTAATACCAAAGCCAAAGTGTAAAAAATACACTTCTTGGCCAGGACCAGTTTCCAGTGGAGAACAGTCTAGTACATAACCCTCAGTGAAACAGCATTTGTGTAGTGAGAAAGCAAATAAGTATTTTTCCCAAATGTTGAACTCCTTTAATCACACAGTGTTTGACTTCATGCGTGTGAAATGTGTGTTAAGCAGAGCATAGCATTTACCTAGATCCATGCTTTTGGACTTGCGATTCCTGATGATCTCCAGCTCAGAAGCATTTTCATACTGTTTGGTGCGTTTTTCTGACATACTCTGGCGGCCAAAACCTTCCCTCTGAAACGAACCATCAGGGTCTGCATCTGGACTGAGCGAACTACAGTTCATGAGGAAGTAAGGAGAGAGGGAGAAACAGAGATATTAACATTAAAATTTTGCCATGAGACATGGCAAATGCCGGGTCATTTCAAAGCATTTTTAAAGCAACCTTTAATCTGATCATTATCTAATTAAAGATATATTTTGTAATTATCTATATTACATTGAAGTTATACTGCTAGTGGCTATCCTTATAATAAGACTGGGAGATTAAATCTACCTATTAATATTCATACATCCCCAAAAGTGAGCCCAAAACACTCCTTTATGATCAGATAATGACCATCGACATTCAATACACAGACAAAGACACAGACAGACACACACACAGTTTTCAATCCCTCATTTCAATGACTATTCTAATCAAGGACATCTCCACCTCTGCTGGGTGGGATCAGCAAATGCTACAATTGGGAAGAGGAGGCTTGGCTATGATGTGTGATACCTCAGTGAGGTGAGGGTGCTGTAGGGTCATGGCCACTCAATAATCCCCCCATCCCCCCATATGTCTGGAGCAGAGGCAGAGCCAGGCCCCCTATAGTGCACTCCCTTTGAGATCTTCTATCTCTGTCTGGATCTTAATTGAAAAAGGGATGGAAGTGGGGAAAGGAGGTTGGGAGAGGGGTCCACTATATTTGCATGCACAAGAGTGCATTTACAATTAAGGTGAGAACATCTTGCCATTTGCGGTGAGATGGATGGGAGGAGACGCAGTGCTGATGGGGTCTAATAAATGTTGCATACATGAGAGGACACGATCACAATTTCTATTGTTCCGTTGATGATCATACAATATGAGGGTGTTTGTATTTTTAACGGTGGAGATCTTTTAGGAGAGTGAAATCGTTGCATTTCAAATCAGAAATTTAATCAAATGACCTGATTTCTCCTGCGACTGCAAAACTTTTGTCCTGAGTTGGATGTTGTGATTATATGTTTGAAAGAGGAGTGGTAGGGAGGAAATTGTTTTATTTTGTCAGTGTATCCTCTGGGACCAGATGCTACTTCAATCACCTTTTAATATCAGTAACAGCAACTGCAGACCTGCTGGCACTTGTTTGCATGTAAACAATTCTTATTGGGGTTGTCAACCCCATTTAACAAAAGAGCTGCTTCATGTGTCACAGAGGGGCCGGCGTCAACGCGTCACTTTGCTGTCGACTATACCTGACAATCCCAACTAAGATCAGACTGCCTCACAGGACCAACTCCAGCTGACACAGGAAGAGAGCGAGGTGGAGCAGGAAGAGAGGAGTGACAGCACAGATGTATTATTCATTTACTCATCATCCCTCACTATTCTCCTCTCATCATTCCAAGCCCACAAAAACCAGCCTGTCCCCTCTTTTTCTGTCTCCGCAAATGTCATCTGTCGGAGCGTGACTGAGACGGTGCGGGAGAGAAAGGACATATTTTCAACCTGAATTTAGATTCCATTCACTCTTGCCAGTATTGTATTTTTTGGGCCAATTGAACATACATAGAACAAAGACAAAGTAAGAGGCCAGCAGGTGTGATCATGCACATCCCTGTTACACAGGTACAGAGTTGGCAAGTGTGTGACCGTTCCAGGGAGACATTATGGAGAAAAGCAGTTGGGATGAATCAGAATTCAGCTTGTCTGGGCAACAATGGTGAGAAATCTGTGGGCAGTAATAGTGAAGTTCAGGGGGACAGCCCAGCAGTGGTGCAAATTCACTCAGTAGGACATCAGATCTGTTGGTTTAAGCTGCTGCCCATTTTAACACTTCCTTTGCTTTACTTTTGTTCATGCAGAGGAATGTGTCCAGTGTGACCTGAAGTGAAGTAACCAATTGTGTTGCTTTGAGCACCCCTCCAAGCCGGAGGTACCTGCTGTCGGTACCTAAGGTCACTGTAGCAGTAACCATAACTATTTAAGGAGGTGGCAGTGAACCTCTACCCCACTGGTTCCCACCCTTTTAAACTTGTGTCCCATTATAGCCTAGTGATTCCTACCTGCAAAGCTTTTTCACAGGTTGCCTGTTACCCTATTCAGTTTGGTAAAATGTAAAGCAAATTTACAAGTCTCATGTGCCATTTTCACAAGGAAATACAAGTGTGCTACATATTGTATCAAAGACATGGCAAGGCCAGACTTAGTCTGCGTCTACTTAATGCTGGCACACAAATATTCACAGCTACTACAGTCCATTAATAGACATTAAATACATTACTCAATTAGAGATCTCGTATTCACTTTCTACTTGCTATTAATTTTGCAAAAGGAACGCTTGTTGTAATGAGATACTGCTCTGAAAGTCTCTTTACTGTGATGCAACAAAGCTTCTTAGGCTTAACACAGTCTACTGGTGGAAAGAAAAGTCAACTGAAAACTGTTGAGTCTATGAAAGTGAGACCTATACCACTGCACTGCTCACTTCAGTCACATAAAATGTATTGGAAAGATAGAAATAAGAAATAGCTTGACCATGTGACCGCCTCCCAGGCAATTTAGATCAGCTGCAGAGTGGCACAATTTCTTCCTCAGACCATCCATCCTGTCTACTCTTCTGGTCTATCTTTAAAAGAAGGCCCAATCCGTTTGGATAATACATTCCTTCATCGCTCCTTCTTAAAGCAGTGTTTAAAATACATTTCCACCAGTCAGATGCTCTCCTCCCCATTCAAAGTCATCAAATCATCTAAAATTAACTAGCGCTGAGGATTGCTCTCAGGCAAATCCACAGCTTTAACTTGCATTTTACATCAACTTGTTCCTGTCTTCGTCTCCCTCAGGAAGTTAAATGTGTCAAACTGCACATCAGCATTGTTGCTAAGTGGTGTGTGCTAACTTTGTGCTCACAACTTACCCTGGTGGCTTTTTTTTTACTTCTTTTTCCCAACTCCCAACCCTTCTTACCCTCGTTTAAAAATGACCCCAAAGAAGTTAGTCCCAAAGCATCCTACTTCTTGGAAAAGTGCAGCTCAGTTTTATCGACTAGCGGGGGGTTCTGAGCATTAGTTTCAACGCCTCAGAGAGGGGGCAGAAGGTCAAGAGCGATGCCCAGTAAGGTGCTTCTGAAATGCTCCTTCTGAGTTTTTGAGGAGGCTGATTCAGCTGACCGCATGGATGCATAGCAGGGCCAGGGAGCTTGGAGCTTGGAGCTGCCTTCAATCATTGCATAAAGCCCTGCATAAGAAGTCAGTACAGAGGTCTGTACTGCTGGCATGTGCACCAGTGGACACTACATAATAGAAATAATTAATACGTTTCAGAGGAAAAAAAGGTGAACAGATAAGTCTTCTCTTCAATCTTTGTAACAGTTATATTACTGTAAAAAGTATGTCTCAGATTACCACTTTCACTTCACTTAATTGCACCTATAAAACATTTGACTTAAACCCGGGTATAAAGGCTGTGAAATAAAATGGTCCCATCAGTGCCACAGAGAAGCAGCTGCACCTGTGATTTGATGTAATCTCCATTTAATTGTGATGAAGTTGCAGGGGGAGACAGAGAGGGAGAGAACAAGATCAATTAAGACGTCTTTGTCCGTCGGCTGACTCCTGCGTAGAGCTCCTCCTTCATTCCCTGCCTGGTGTACAGATGCTCTGGACTGCTGAATGGGAGAGCAACTGACAAGGATAGGGGAAAGAAGATATCCTGGTTTGTATGGCAAGAGTGTGTATGTGCAGGTAACTTTGGCATCACTCATGCTGAGAGTCACCTGTACCCCTGTCACAGTCAGGCAGTGTAGGGCACGCATACACACACATTGTACACGACACAGGAAGCCGCAGCTAAACACACACAAGGTAAGGGCAGAAATTAAAGCATGTATGACATGCTTGTAGCAATGGCACACCACAGACACATGGTAAATATTCATAAAGCTAGAGGGGACCATTAGCATTTAAGAAAAATATGCCTGCAAATTGTATGAGTGTGTGTGTGTGTGTTTGTGTGTGTGTGTATGTACTACCTGGTGTTAAAGTCACTACTAACATAAATGGACATTTGAGATTAGTCAAATAGTTTGTGCATGCACTGCAGGGCTGTTTGCATTTATATGTAGTTGTGCTGATAGCTTGATGGGAAAAACACATGTGCTTAATAAAGCACTTGTGATTCTTAGTTACCTTACTGATGATAGAAACTATTAGGGAGTCAACTGAAGTAGGCAGTCTGCCTGCAACGTTAGCTTGGAAGTTTGTTTGTTCGTGTCTATGCGGACCTTTTCCACTTTATATGTTAATTTGTGAAATTGTTTACCAGCCAATGTGTATCTAAACACTCGTGAGACTGAGGGTGTCATTTGTGTGTGTATGTGTGTGGATGAGTGTGTATGTTTGTCTGGAGTCCTTTTCTATCTCTGCTGGTTGACAGACTGTGTCAGAGCTGCCTGGGAAATGTTGTTTCCACCTGTGACATCTCACAAAGACAGAGAAGGACAGTCTAGTTCTCACTCTCTTTTTCCCTGTCTCTCTCACTGTCCATTTCTCTCCCCTATCACCTTAATGAGAATTGACACATATCCTCCACTCCGTCAGCTACATCTAGATTGAGGTCCAAGCCACAGGGAGAGTTGTAGTCTAGTTCTATCGGGGTTGTGACAGTGCCCCTAGTGGCCCAAGTGGGGGGGGGGGGGGGTTATATCTTCTACCAGTTCAACTGTTGTCCTTGATATGTTTTACAGCATGAGGACTATGAAAGCAACGATAAGTACTCCGTTTTAACATCAAATCATGATTTAAGATAGATTTAAGAATCTACGAATGCAGAATGAAACCTAAGGACTTCCAAAAGAGAGTCAATCAAATCAATCACACAAACAATATATAATTGAACATATTTTAGCATATAAATAATGTTACAAGTGGCCATTATCTGATTTCAACTACAGGTGATGCACCCTTTCCTCCTGCAAGCAGTCAAACTTAACTCAGGTGGTATGCAGAGCAGCCATGATGACAGTGGTTGGTTTGTTAATATCAACCTGTGCGCCCCAGGCTGTCTGGTGGTAGTTCATTCCTGGC